AAGACCCTAGTGATAGAATAAAATGAATAAATATACTAATTCATGAACAGTAATTATTGGTGCCCGATTTACTAAAATGCGAGCAAGAAAAGGAAGGATGCTATTTCTGTATGTGACGGTTCGTGCGGGAAGGAGCCTATAATGGGAGAGGTTTGACATGGATTTAATAAGTTCGTTATACAAGCACTGATCTTCGTTCTTCAAGATTCTGTTGACTATTCTTTCATATGAGTCGATATGTTTTCGCACAATGAAATCAACCATGATATCTCTGGCTATGCCAATACATCGTGATAGGAGTTTTATGAACCTAGAAATTAATATGAAATCTTTTTCTTTTAGGCCAGGAAAAAATACAGGTGAACAGTACAGCCAATGAGAGAGGATGCATACTACCACGAATTTGAAAATTACATTTGGGGAACGGCCAGCTTCTTAAGCCTGAAAACATAAAAGGAACTTATGCAAACCCTGTTGTAAATGTTCTCTACATGTAAGGTCCAAGAGAGATGGTGCGATAGAATGAATTCGAGTTATTTAACGGAGTAAGCTTTCGGAATGCTGTGACTGGTAACGACGAAGTCCGGTAATTCCNGTAATTCCTTATAGGTAGTTTGATAAAGGCAGCCAGATTTAATACCTAAAGGAACGTCAACACATTTGGAAACGGTAAGCGTGAGTGATTAGGTTAGAGACCAACTAGAATCGTCATTCAGATTGCTTTAAAGGCGGCGGAAAGAAGCATCAGTATTGGAGGGGCACCGAATCACCACATCGTCCGCATACTCACAGGGAATAAGGTTGGTAGGGATAAGCAGGTGGTTTATGTACTTGGACAAAAGAAAGGAGACAAATGGCGCCCTGGAAGACACCAGAGTTAACATAAAAAGACGACGTCGTTTTACCATTGCATGAGGTAAATTGCGTCCTAAAAGAGATGTCGTTTACGGAGTGTTTAAAACGTCGGATCCTAAGCGGCGGTCAGCAAGACGTTGAATGAGAATGGTTTGATTGTAGAGCCAAGATACTTGAAAACTTCGGTTGATTCGACAAGCTCCCCGCTAATCTAGAGGGTTTCTGTCGTGGCAGAAGTTTCAGTTAAAAATATATTGGCTTTTTTACGTGTTGATCTCTAGCGCAATGGCCTGGGCAAGCTGATTTACAGGACTGGCAACAGGCTGTAAGTTGTCCATGGCATCCCAAATTACCCGACGCCATCCACAAATTCTGCAATCCATGTATCTGGGCCAAGCTATACTCCGGGGTAGTCGACGAGTGTTTGTCACATTATCCCATCCTCCTTGTGATTGAATATCACCAATAATAGGGGAAACCTTGCCTGACTTCAGAGTTCAGTGTAAACTCAACTGATTCTCCTCCACTAGTACCAAACCCTGATGAACTTCTCGGGCGTCTCATCGGACTACCATATGCACCACAGGAATTCTCTATCGGCAGAATCAAAGACCGACCGGAAGACCGTGAAACGTGCTGTGGTAGATTGTTGAAACTTGTATCAATGTTCCAGAATCCTACATAGAGTGAAGATTTGTCCAACATTGCCTCTTCCGCGGCGGTGGTGGCCCGGTGCTAACTTCACCATATTATCACCCCGGGGATGCTTGTTCGAATCCCACCACCACCGCCTGACTTCCCATTGTGCTGAATGGCAGCCCTTTGATTGGCCACTTCCCCCTTCCCGAAAATTGTATCTTTGTTTATTCAATAAAAAGGAAGTAAAATGAAAAGAAAAAATAAATCCAACGCTTCTTTGAACAAAACCTGTTTTAAACTGTTTTGGCAACTTAGTTTTCCATTTATTTCTTTCGATCTCCACTGTTGCTTTATTGATTATGACTAAGGTGTCGATGCTTTTCACGGTGGCAGGTATCATTCAGTACAAACACAGGACTACGGGATTGCATCGTCCTTGGTTCATGGTCGACTACAATCGGTCACGACATGTTCCGACGGGCAAAGTGCACGAAGAGATTGTGCTCCGCGTATGTTATTATCATTATTATTACATATAATCCTGTTTCATGTTTCATGTATGTATTCGATAAGATCCACCCTATAATGAGCTTAAATCCCTCTTTTCTCCGAATGATGAACTAGCGGGCTGTAAACCTTTGAGACTAACGCTGAGGTTCACGTGATCGGTTACTCGCTATAAACTTGCAAGTCTGGATCGCATTAAGATACATTGAAACGCCTTGTTCATCCGGTGTTCAAATGTATAGTATACTTGCATTCTCTTTATCAGATTCCAAATTCATTTTGCATTTGAATTGATCGTACAGCCACTTACAGTAAATCGAACTTCACTGATCACTGCCGGACTCGGTTAGTGGTAAAATTTAAGGTAGACAGGGATTGACCTATTTTTAGGGAGGAAGAAGGTGAACCTCTATGGTCAACACAGAGTGCACAATCGAACCGTGCACACATACGGTTTCAAGCATTCTGACCTGCTAAGAAACGACAACAAGAATTCCACTGCTGCCTGTACGCTGCCATATCCTTCAATGTCTTCAACCAACTGGTTGTGGAGTCTTTTGGACCCCAACCTGGAGGGCGAGAGACACGTACTCTACCGAGTGAGTCTG